CATATACAGAAAAGGGCCTTGAAGGCCTACTGTAGGTGCCAGATTCATTAACAGTCCGCGTCACACTAAGGAACGAGCCTTCCGTTTACCGTGTCAGACGTTGCTTGAAGGGTTCACGTGTCATACTAAATAGAGCCTAGACATGACACAAAGTACTGTATACGGAAATTAATTATACTGTATATTTACAGTACATAATCTTTACGAATAAGATATTGTAAATTGTAATAATTGTAATTTTTAGGTACAGGTATACAGTATACGAATGTTAAGTGCCCAAAGAAACAAGCCGAATTAAATAAAAACACTGTAGAATGGAAATATCATATGCTCGTAGTTTCTGGCAAAACGAAAAATAGAACAATCGACGTGGACTGAGTATGAGCTTAAGGCTTGCGACCTTAAGGGGGATCCCGCGTCAGACCACGAAACGAGTCTTGAAGGAACCCCACGACAGACCACAAGAAACATCTTATTTGATCAAGGAGAGGGCCCTCAGGAACCCCACATTAGATCAAGATAGAAAGAAACCTAATGCTAGACAGCGATACGTGACATGAGGAGCCCCACCTAGAGGTACCCTAAGCTAAACCAATAAAACGAGCCTTGTCGAACACCTGTTATACAAAGAAATAGACCCTAAAAGACCTCGCGTTTAAAACCAAGAGTCAGGTCCTCACAGGCTGTATGTTTGAACAAAAAAACCTCATGAGCAACCACGTATTACAGGCTTCTTGGAGTCCGTATTGACCTCAGTAAAATAAACTAAATTAATATTCAGAAATTCAATTTGAGGTTTCCATGGAAAAGTACTAAGGTTAGCAAAAACTACAACAGTAATACGTGAAATGTGCAGAAAAAGAAAAAATTCGATACTTTGGCCTTTTTTTAAGGATGAGGGGACAATAAAAAAAAATAATGGGCAAAATTGAGGGTAGGATGGCCAGGGGAAGGTAGAGACTGGAATGGGCGAAATAAATTAAAAACTGTCCCCAGAGAGTTACAAAACTTTAGAGTATTGGTAAAAACAGTCAGAGAACGTTTAGAGTGGAGGACTGTGGTCGCCAACCCTCAGATGTAACGACGGTACTCTGATTGATGTTAGACCAAGATATAAACTTGAGGATCCCCGTGTTAAAAAAAAACTTGATTTATCCCTGCTAAATCATGGAACATAAGAATGGAGGAAAGTGTAACTAGGCAGTCCCGTTTACACCCAACCCCTATCTCTCATATATCTGTTCAACCTATAATTGAAGCTCACCAACGTGTTCGAGTTAATTATGATGTTTGGTAACTTGTTCCACCCATCCACTACTCTATTTCCAAACCAGTGTTTATCTATCTCGCACCTAAGTCGAAATTTTTATAATTTAAAACCATTGCTGCGAGTTCGCTCCTGATAAGGTTGCCGTATCTTGTATTAAATAAAAAATAAAGACCTCATGGACTTACGGTTAAAAAATTATCTAGGAGAGAATCCTTTTGCATGGACATGAAATGCATAACATAAGCTTACAAACATGTACAAATGAGTTTTACATTTATGTTTTATGAACTCTTTATTTCTCCGATTCATAAAGGAGCAATGATCTAAAAACTCGAGTCAAATTAAATCGATCACTACTTTATCAAAACATGTTTGTGTTTTCCTCCAGTATCAACTACCGTGTATTTGTGTTTGAAATCAATAGTCAGGACTTGGGTCTCGAGGAGAAGCAAACCCACCCGGATTTAGCATGTGACCTGACACCTTCAGTTGCACTACTCACGTCTCTTTTAACTCTATTAGATATAATGGGGACGGCGTGCAGGGCCTGAGTCACGCAGCGGTCGACCGTTACGAGAGCTACGTCCGTCTTAAGTCTTTGTAGGCGGATGTAACATCTGACACAGAGTTTATGGTTACTCTGAATGTCTTTATGGGTCTTTTCACTTTCTGTAGAGCGCTTAGGAAGATACAAGGGTTGAAGCGTTATGGTGTGATGGTGTAAGTGTCGTGACACACAGGAAGTGTACGGTTACTTGTGTGTGCTCACCGTGTTGCAATTGATAATCATCCTGACAACGAGGTGGGTCAGTCGTAAAGGAAATATCAAAAGACTGTGTGTGATGAATGAGTCAAAATATCCACCACTGTATTAGGTTCGATTATGGATTGATCTCATAACATAAAGCAGAGAATTACTGCGCTGTTATGCAGCTTCGCGCTTACTTCAACATTTTTACATAACCACTGCTCTCATTTTCTAAAACCAGATCAGGTTACAGGATCAATCAGTACTGGGATGTAGTATAGTACAGGTGAACACAAGAGAAACAAAAGTTGACATGAACAGTACATACGTAAACTTTCAGTGCGGATTGACTGACCAACTCTTAAATATTAACACAGTGATTTAATGAAAGAGACAAAGGTTATTTCTTCTTATAACTTCTTATGTTGAGATCTAACACTTTTTTGACAGAATTATATATCAATTTTATCTTATGTGTTAATTAACAAACTTAGTTCCTCACGCACCGACCTATCGCAATACTCAGAATAACTCAGGCAGTTAGAAATGCCAGATGTAACTATTATAAAAATAAGCTCCGGTCAGCATCGGGCAACAGTAAGAAAACCTGGATTATCATTAATTCTATTCAGCTTCTATGATAAGTGATTCAGTTGTAACAGAACCCTTCCTCGTTACTAACCACTTCAATGACTATTTTACCAATTTTGGCAAAAATCTTGCAGAGAGCATCCCTGGTCACCACGAGGAATTTAGAGCCTACCTGCAAAACAGGCAGCAAAATGGGTTGTTCTTATCCCCTGTCACAGCAGATGAATTACTGGCCATCATAAAAATGTCCAAAGATGCAGCAGCAAGCGACAACAATATACCAATAAGCATCATTAAGAACGTAGCCCACTTATTACTACCTGTTCTCCTACACATTTGTAACTCCTCCTTCACTAGTGGTGTCCTTTCGGATAAACTGAAAATTGCTAAAGTCCGCCCGGCATATAAAAAATCTGGGAACAAAAGTCTCTTCAAGAATTACCGCCTAATATCAGTCCTTCCAGCCTTAGGTATAAGGTACTGAAGAAGCTACCATGTAGTTGACCAAATTCCTTCTGCAGTGTCAATAACATCCTTACAGACTCTCAGTTTGGATTTAGAGCCAGAAGGATCGACGGAGAATGGTCTGTTATCCTTTACTAGTGACACCTTAAACTCCTTTGATGACAGTCAGTTCACAGTCCGTATATTACAAGACCTCTCTAAAGCCTTTGATACTGTCCACCATGCCATCCTCCTTTCAAAGCTTGAACATTACGGCTCATCCCACAATTGGTTTACCTCATATCTGACTAATAGGAAACAGTATGTCTGTTATTATAATCATCAATCTGACTCCCCCAATCTTGTTTGGCGTACCCCAAGGCTCCATTCTCGGTCCTGTACTGTTTTTGTTGTACATAAACGATATAGTCCACTCCAGCACACTCATAAAATACAACTTATTTGCAGACGATAGTAATCTCTATGCCAGCAACTCAGATCTCCATTCCTTGATGAGAACTATGAACAATGAATTGACTAAAGTCAAGATCTGGGTAATATGTAATAAACCGACCTTAAATCTCGAAAAAAACCCTCACTACACGATCTTACACAGAAGGAAAAACTTACCCACAAATTTGGACCCCCTGTACCTTGGTAATACAGTCCTCAAACGCGAACAAAATGCTAAATTCCTTGGAGTTATTGTTGATGAAAAACTTAATTGTGGAAACCACATACAAGCCATGCACAGTAAAGTCAATAAACAGTGCGGTATCATGTATCACACTCGACAGTCACTCACTCTTACAGCAATGAAAGAAATCTATTATGAAATTGTTTTCCAACATCTGATACACAGTGACACACTGTGGGGGGGGGGCTGGCTCTTAAAAAACACAACCCCTGATTACTGCACAAAAGAGAGTTGTGCGGATAACGCCCTATTTGAAAAGAAAAAAAAATTATCACACTAACGAGCTATTTGCTAAATCGAAATGTTAAAACTCGAGGATATTAACACCTACTGCTGTGCCCTATTTGTTTACAAATTTGTCAATCACTTGCTTCACAATAATTATTTCCAGACCCGGAATAATCAAAGATGCAACTTAAGACACCCCCCCATGCGCTCCTCTCAGTCCCAGACCTCCATAAAATATCGTGGAATGAAGGTGTGGAACAACTTACCTCCACCCATCAGAGCAAAGACTACGCTCCCTTCCTATAAATCATCCCTTAAAAAATATCTATTGTCTAAGTATTAATATTTTTTGTAATACCTACTTTATATTCCTGCGTTTTATCATAAATTGTCATGTAGATAGATAGAAATTACCATTGCAATAAATATATTTGCCAACTTGACATGATACTGACAGCTTTGTCCTCTTGTTCCACCTTAATAAAACCCATGTTGTATTGCTTCCCTCCCTTATCATATTTATGTATATCAACTCCATTGTAAAGTATGTATATACTTATAATATACTGTAAAAAAAAATAATAAAATAAATAAATATCGAAGTGACAACCGTGGTAACATTCTGATATGTTCTTATTACCAACATGCTATGTGTACGATCCCAGATGATACTGAATGTTACATAATACTTCCTTGAGATAAATGTACAGTATATATCAGGTGCCTACAAGAGAGCTCAGGCTCTTAGCGGCTCAGCCATGCTAATAATATTATTTTTTTTCTTCTCTGTATCTATGTTCTTCTGGCTAAATATACTGTTTCAATATCAATATGAGACGGAACAGTAAATATTTTCCACACTTCCCAGAAAGTGTGAGGGGATGTAGGGACCCCTGCTGACGAAGGTGTCGGAAGATTTGTGAAACGTCAGCGATGATACAGCGGATCAGCTGACCCTATTGTGTAATCCTATAGCCCCCAATTCCTGTCCCTGGGCGAGGCAGTCAGTCAGCTGGGCGGGCGACGCACCAACCAGTCACATTGAGGGGCCGTGTGGGGCAACAAGGTGCCGGGGACGCTCTCCTCGCCCTCACCACTCCTCCTGAGAACTCTTGTAACGTTTTCACTTAAGGAGCTGGAACACACGATCACGTTATTACAACAAGATGGGGAAATCAAAGTGAAGTTAGTGTGGTGTACAACTGTTGCTGGTTGAGCCGGTTATCAATTAAGTGGCAAAAAACGTCTTGCTTGTGGCGGCTCAGCCCTCGCGCATATCGTGTCATGCATCAATGTCCTGCGACTCATCTCACCCAACAAAATGTTTCTCCATGTATAGCTACATGTACAAAAAAATTAACTACTTCCTTGTTTAACTGTACATAATCAAGTTTAGCGTACGACAGAAAATACTGAAATAACAAGAAATACAAATTCAGTGTCGTATACAAACACCTTGGGGGGAAGCGTCTTTGCGTCAGCCCAATAGAGTAACGTCAGTCGAGCCCAGATCTGCCTTCTTCAACAGGTTCCTCCACACTCTAGCGGGTCCACCCAATGTTTGGAAGCCTTGTCGTCACTGCCACGGACACCACCAGAACAGGTAAGACGTCCATATGATCTCCTGTGGTAACTGTTTTTGTCTGTTATTTTAGTACCCGTGATACCTGCTGTGTTTGTTATCTCCGGCGGGCCTCTTTGTCCACCTCTGCTGCTACGAAATCTATCATTATAGCAACAAGGTCCAGGGACTCGAATAATTTGTACATATTGAATTTCTTGGACATTATGTTATTGGAATCTTCGTTTGACACCACGTGATCTTGACGTTCTGCCACCAGGCACCAAGCATAACACAACAAGTATCAAGGGATGCAATAAAGATCGTCGAAACTTTGTTTTTTATATAGCATCTACAGTACTCTATCACAAGGAACGCCGAACACGAGACGAAACTGACTCTTCTGCGAAAAAATGCTCAAGAACATACAGTACATGTATCGAGCTGGGGATTTAACCCATAAGTGGGTCGTAAGAGTCCATATGCACAATGGTTTATACCGTGTTGGTGACATCTTGCGGACTGACTCTGGCTGGACTGGACAATAATTAGAATTAATGAGAAAACTCGGTTTAACGCTCACAACAGCGACACTTACAACAAGGTTGACGGAGACTTGGCCACTTATAATAAAAGGAAGAAACATTGTTAGCGAGGTGAGGAAAGAAGGACAGCGGACCAAGGCAGCCAAAGATCGGTGAAACAACATTAATTCTCCGAAGAGAAGAGAACTTAATCCCGCTTCATTAATTAAATTTTAATACGTAGATACTGTAAGTGATCAAGTTTACTTTCCTTCTGCTGAATAATTAATTTATTCTTGTGTAAATCCAGAGAAAACCCTCGCTTATAGGACGTCATGGGGATAAAAAGCCGTTGAAATAATTCATGCTGTCCAAAATATCGTCTTAACATGCAGTGTATTACCTCATGGCCACAACACCACAATATAAATGTCTTTAAATTTCTAAGAAACTGACTCTTTCACTCACCCTCACTCCTCACCTGGCATCGTGCTCTCAACCCTTTTGAACTTTACTTGATAAAATGTAAGCATAAGATATATACCGGGTACTTCAGTAATAAAATATATCTTAATTCTTGATCCGCTCCACTCCATAGCTCATTTATTCTCCAGTTTCCTTCTTCTACTGTTTATTTAATACTTGGTCCATTGCCTAGAAGTGAACATTAGACCTTGACACAACTGCTCGACACGACACACTCACTGTCCGTCATCAATACAGCGTCGTACATTACATGCGTTACACATAAATCTACCCCCTTCCTAGTATCGTTCATCCGCCGCATCTCTCTGTGTGTGTGTGTGTGTCCTCAACAGATCTTTAAATATCATGTATACCGGCACCTCCCAGCTGAGTCAACAGTTACATCTCCTACATTCATCCCGACCACTCATATTCGTGTCTTGGTTGTCATAGTCGTCTCCCTTAAAATCTTCGAAGCAAGAAAAGAGCCAGACAGACAAACAGGCAAAACGAAAAAGCCAGTATAACACACCTCCTAACACGCCATTTTCTCTGGCTTCCTGTGGCAGCAACAAGGCAGCCCATGGAAGTTAGTGCTTCATAATACACCAAATTGAGCCAGAAGGGGGGAGAGTTGGCTCTGGCGGCCGGTTGTCAAGGTTACTCTCTCAGTGACTCACCCTTTCTCTCGTAATTTATGGCACTATCTTGAGTTGGGATCTTTAATACCTCGTAATTTGGACGTTTTTCCCATAATTCTGAATAAGATTAGGCAATAAGTTACAGTACATTTTCGATACGATTTCGATGACAATATAGCGGCCATCTTTGTCTCAGTCGGTTAGTTTGGGTCTAACATTTTGTACTCTGGCAAAGTTTTAACACGCGAACTTTAATGGAACTGAGTCTTAACCACCCATGAGCATTGCGTCTCTTCGTGTACCGAGTTACTTATCTTTTGGGGTTTTCTTCTGTTTTTTGTACTTTAGGAGCGCCCTGGAGGTCACCGAGGAGTTTTGCTCATTTTCTTATTTTCAATTACATTTCTTGTATTCAGAACTCGGCATCGTGGTACAAAATATATAGCTATGCTGTTTACATATATTCGTGTGCATAAAAAGAGTATCTAAACCCTAATAAACCTGTTATCATGAAAGAAAGTTATAGTGACGGGGATGAAACTCCTGTGATAGCAGTCCTAGTAAACGTGGCACCACCTTGCGAGGAATCAAATGCGTCACCTTACAGCATTTTACAACACCTGAGGAAGTCAGCAGAGTGACACCTCGTACCTTCTCACTTAGCCAATAAACGCGTGGTCAAGGGCAAGGAGGATTATAAACCAGGTCACGACAAGTGGTGGACGACTCTAAGGTGCAGCACCCAGCTGTCCTGGGGCGCATCACCACATAAGAAATTCAGCTCTCTACAAATATTGGTAGTCTACCATCAACAACATGCCCGATGACGGTTTCGTGTAAGTTGTCTGCGTTTGTGGGTTCTCATGCGAGTCCACGTGTTAATGTTAATCACGTCGCCGTCCTCCCCAGCTGCACTCAGGAGACCATCCCTAAATTTGACTGTTGGGCTCATTCCCTCCAATGACACTTGTTTGTATCTCCACGCATTCTTATGTTGTTTTTATGTATGTATGTATACAAGTAGGTGTGTTCATGTGGCTACCAAGTGTTGGTCTCGCGAGCACCGGCACTTCGTCGAGTCCGCCGCTGGCACCCTCGGTGTGAACACAACAACTCTGGAAAAATTATAGATTTTCTTGGCGGGTACGTTGGCTCCACTAAATTATACGTATTATTTGTATAATCCAAGTAACACTGGCAGATAGGCGGCCATTTTACGTCCATATACTTCTCAACCAGAATCAGTGTGTTAACTAGTGACGTGGCCTGATCAAATTATATCACCCAGGGACTGAGGAAACTGGGGTAAATATCGCGTGTAAGACATAATATAAAGCCTATACCGGGCGACTATTCTGCTCCATACTTCATACCAAGATAATTAGTGAACAATGAAGAAATAAGACGTCATTAACATTATGAACTGCCGTCTTGACCTCTGGCACAATATCCAATACCAGCATCAGCCTCAACATGCTGGGTGTCAACAATCTCTGTATATAAGTCGTCTTACACAAGTTTACTACTTCACTTACAGGAACATTTGACTCCATTCACGACTGAAAGAGAAGAAATTTACCAGTCATCGCCGCCTACATCATGCCCCTAAATTTTTGACCTACATACAACTGTAAACATAATTTTCATAAATTTACGTATTTTTTCTCTCAACTCAGACTACAGAGATAACATTCTGAAGGTGACTACACATCTTGACACTCATCATCCACCTGGTTAACTAAACATTCAAGGATAACTCATTATTCAGGTGGAAGTACATCTAACATTATCAGATGATGAAACATAATTATCATAAATGTTTCAATATGTACAGTATATATACACCAAAACAAAGCCAAAGTTTTAATTTAACCATTATCTAACATTTAATCATTCAGTAATATATCCCCGACAGTCTTCATTGTGTAGTAAGTTAAACAAAGTACTGAAAAGACGGATAATTCATGAATAATAAAATAATAAAAACAAACAGAATTATTATAACATATTAACATGCCCTAAAACCTTTCTATAGAAGTTTTGTAGACGTACGATGACATTAAAAATTGACGATGAATTTATAACACTGACTTCTCTTGGATCATAATTTTGAATTGGATTTGCAGTCATTGAGGCTAAAAACTCTCAAATGAAAGACATATATGCCCCAGAGGGAGATTTTTTCCCGTATATGCCTCAGCTGGCCGTGCAGGCGTGTCCACCGTCAGCGGGGCCACAGGGGGAGACGCCACAGTGGAGGCTGTTGAGGTCCTCGCCTTGCCATGATTTGCAGTTGTGTTTACAGTTTCCCAAGGGTGCCATCGCTCGCGTTCCTTGGATACTTTATCTGCCCGCTAGCTACTTTCATTTCCCTAGGCTCCACCACCAGGCCCCTGCCACTGTTGTGTTCCCAGGATCCACTACCATCAGACCCCAGACCTTTTTGTTCAGGTTCCACCACTAGAAACCAGCCACTATTGTGTCCTCAGGCTCCACCACCACCAGACCCCAGTCACTTGATTCACCTGAGATGTTCAGTCCTATGTCCCTGTCCATCACCATCTCTTGAAATACAACCCGTTCTCTGGTGAGTCAGCGACATATTCTATGTAGACTACAGACACAAAACCAACATTTATATTAATTAGTTTCCGTATATCTTTTACCAATGAAGTATAAAGGTAAACATTGGCCATAACATTAAGTTGTTGAAAAGAGTACAAGTTATTAAGAGTATGCAATCAATATGTTCAACAACAACTGGAGCAATACAATACTTAGTACAAACTGCAATATATTACATCAACTGAGACACAAAGGTAATTATGGAAGCAAGAAACTTAACAAAGCAAAACAAAGGCCCGAGTTCTCATACCGCACCCTCATAGAATTGCTCTTTATATAATTTACTTCTTCTATTACGAAACTCAGTCATGGTTACACGTGGCATGAAACATTATATTAATAAGACAAACAGGATTATATTTCAGACGTCAAAGGTTATGGTTAAAAATGTGTCGTCATTTTGACTTCAATGATACTAATGTAATCATTAAAAAAATTCTAGTACGGTAAATATTTTTTTTCTGAATATGACTGTAAAGGTTCACTGTAAGATCGTGTTAGGGCGCTGAGACTGGATATGAAGCATTGAAAACATGATAGCCACTTTTAGTAACTGCTGAAGATTAAGGTCTTATGTGAATCTCGATTTAGTATCGTCCATGAACATTATATAATATAATCATCACTAACATTATCATAATAAAGCAGCAACCAACCAAAACAGACACTGGAATGTAAATAACCTTGAGGGGTCAAACATCACACTGAGGTCAAGTGTGAGATGAGTTTCAGAATCTTCAAGGTCAGCTTATTTAAGAAAAGTGACAATATATTAAACAAAACTGTA